TGTTCCTGTGTGACCTAGTCTAGGTGTTTCTTTTTCATCATTCATCACATACAAAAAAATAAGGCAGAAAAATAAGCCTAGATATCTCCTTTGGAGGGCTTGAGAGTAGAAAGGCTCTACAGAGGGATCTGAACAGGCTGGATCGAAGGTCTAAGGCCAGTTGTGTGAGGTTCAACAAGGTTAAGAGCTAGGTCCTGCACCTAGGTCACAATAATGCTACAGGCCTGGGGAAGAGTGGTTGGAAAGCTGCCCAGCAGTGTGTCCAGGTGGGCAATATTGCCCAGAAGGATAATAGGATTCTGGCTTGTATCAGAAATAGTGTGGCCAGCAGGACCAGGGAAGCGATTGTCCCTCGGTTCTCAGCACTCGTGAGGCTGCATCTCGAGTACTGTGTTCAGTTTTGGGCCCCTCGCTACAAGAAAGAAATTGAGGTGCTGGAGTATGTCCAGAGAAGGGCAACAAAGCTGGTGAAGGGTCTGGAGAACAAGTCATATTAGGAGCGGCTGAGGGAGCTTGGGTTGTTTAACCTGGAGAAATGGAGGCCCAGGGAAGACCTTATCACTTTCTACAACTACTTGAAAGGAAGTTGCAGCAAAGTGGGTGCCAGTCTCTTCTTTCAAATAATAAGTGATAGGTCAAGAGGAAATGGCCTCAAGTTGCACCAGGGAAGTTTACATTGGATGGTAGGAAAATTTTTTAACCAAAAGAGTTGTCAAGCATAGGTTGCCCAGGGAAGTGATTGAGTGACCATCCCTGGAGTTACTTAAAAAATGCGTATAAGTGGCACTTAGAGACATGATTCAGTGACAGACTTGGCAGTATTAAGTTTACAGTTGTACTTGGTGATCTTAAGGGTCTTTTCCAACTAAATGATTCTACGATGCTATGACTTAAGCCCGAGAGATAACAACTGCTTGTAAATAAATGTGTAAAGCTATTTTAATCTTATTACTTATTCACACTGATTTTGCTGCACTTTTCTCTTTGTCTCTTTTGCACTAGTTGCAGTAGCTTGTCAAAATTGCAGGTGTGAACTATTTGGTGAAAGGGCTGCTTTTGACTTCCAGACCTATCTAGTGCCTGCCTCGCCACCTCCTTGGTCAGGGTCCCTTTGCTTTGCTACTACACAATGAGCCGAGGAGCATGGAGGAGACCTGGGATGGCTCCACTAAAGTGAGGTAGCTGGGCTTTCAGGTGAACCAGCCACCAACCTTTAACATGCAGAGCCCACACAGAAATCTATTGACACAGAGATATGTTGTCCCAAACTCACCTGGTACTTGGTGATTTAGAGGTAGGTTGGAGAACAGACAGATGGAAAAGCTGCTCACTTTTGAGGTAGTTGAGGGCCAGTTTATATGTTATATGGATTGTCTAATTGCCTTATATTAACTTGTGGATCTGGCTAACCAGATTTCCTCTCTTTTGCCAGTATCATTCCTCTTTGGACAAAACACTGTAATCTCTTGACCAAAAAATTTATATAGCAGGAGTTATATACCCAGGCACTGGTTCAAATTTAGATGTGTAGTAAGTATTATTTGCAGTCATACATATCTCCACCCGGGCATAAACATCTACGTATCACTAGAGCAAACATAAAAATGCAGATTGTCACTCAATGTAATTAATTCAGTGTTTATGTCATCTTTTCACTTAGGTCAGAGACAACACAAGGCAAAATTATTAATACAGGTAAATATGGTTGAAAAACATGTCAATTTGCCCCCAGAACAAGTTGTTTTCATTCCTTATAACTTTTCTGCAGTGTAACAGTGGATTCTTATCCTCTTAAAAAGTTTTAAGATTTCTGGTTTTGATTTTCATGAAGTAAAATGTTTTGTTCTTTTGGGAAGAACCTTTCCCATTCCCCTTAATATTGACTAATATGGTTAAAGACACTGATCCACTTTGAGTCCTGTAAACTGAGCAGTAAATCCATTTTTACTGTTGAAAATTTCTCCTTCCTTTTGTAATTTCTTTTATATTCCATTTGGCTTGCAAGCAGTAGCTGTAACTTATTATTATGTCAGAACTTATATCGTATAGTGTAATTTGAATGTAACCTGCTATAAATTATTTGTGGCATGGTCAATGGTCAAAAATGGAGGTCAGGAAAACAGAGTATGTCATGTCAGCAGTTCTTACAGCAACAAACCTGTGTTGGAGCTTTTCGTGGAGCTTGAATTAGCTGCAAGACAACAGATTTTCATAAGAAAACCAATAGAGACAGAATTTGTGAATGAATGGCACAAAACTCTGCTCTTCTGGTAATTATAGTCTTCAAGAAGAAATCTAGAAAATGTGGTGAAAATGAAGCCATCTGTAAACACTTACTGCAAGGAAGATCTGAAGAGAACTGTGAGCCACTTCTATGTACTGATATTCAAGAAAACACCCCGAGACAGTGATATAACGATGATCCTCTGGTGCCCAATCTGGGGCTGGGGTTACCGAGGTTACGGTACAGCCTGGCCCATTCTCCATCCACCAAGAACGATGCATTGAGATATTAAAGGTCAGGATGAGATCTGTTTCCTGCAAAAGAACAAGTGAAGAATTAATGTGTTGAGATGGTACTCCAGTATCAAATGTCTCAGCAAGAGATTTCACAGGATGTATAAAGCAAAGAGCAGCGATAAAACCGCACTGTCACATGAAAGTTAGTGGAGCTTGCCTGCAGCAAACAGAAGACTTGCAGACTGCACCTTGGCAGGCAGAATTGCTTTGGATCAGCAGAGTAATCCTGCAAGCCAGGATCTGTTCCTAGACCTTATGGTGGCCTAGACTATAGCAGTCATTTCTGTTACATTGCTCATTTTTCAGTGGAAACCATAAGAACTAATGGACATGCACATTTACACAGCACCCCTCTCCTGCTTAGTTCCTAGAAATATGGCCTATATTTTGGTGGTTTGGTATACCAAACTACGCAAGAGTCCTCAGGAACCGAGACTTCATAGACTTCAATATGTGTGGGTCATCTGCAAGGAGTTTTGTTGCATGGATTCTGAAAGAGACTTGTGGTAGCTCTGCTGAAATATTGGAGAGGGTGTAAAAAAAGTATTCTGTACAACTGGTTACAAGTATAGCCTCTTTGTAATGCCTCTTTCAGATTACTGACTTCCTAGGAGTCTGTAAGGAAATAGCTAGCGAGTGCTGCCTTGGCTAAAGACTGCTTAGCTTGTTAAAAAGGAGGGGTAAAGAGGCCTGAAACCCTTAACTCCCATGCAGCTAGTGCAATGGAGTAACTAGTCAGCCATGCTTTCCATTAAGATTGCATTTATAAAGAGTTCATAAAGGATTAATAAATGATTAATATACTTCATAAACAATACTACAGATATGACTTTCATAAATTATACTTGGTTGCACATTACTTAAGGTTGTTATACATAGTTATAAGAAAACTATAGACTTTGTGGATTCTGTAAGAGCCTACAGTGTTTATCAACTCTTTATAAATTATTTATAAGTGTAACCTCATTGTAAAGTGTGACTATCTAGTCTGTGTGCACATGTGCTCAGTCATGCAAAAAAAATTGCTTTTAAGTAATGCCTTTGCAGAGCCAAACTCTTCCCACACCTAACCTACTTTTTTTTTCCAGCCTGTTGTTGACATAAATAATTAAGATTCTCATAAAGATTTTAAAATGTAACTATTTAATTAGGTTTACCATGCCAAAAGGAATAGAGTGACATTCTCTAGCAGATATGTTGTGTCCACATATTCCTCCCTTCAAAAATAGTCATTTTTTCAATCCCACTTATTTTCCCTTTTTGCACTAACTCATGCAAAGGTAACTCCATCTAAAGAGCTATTGGATAATGTCATGACTGACACATTAATCGATTTGAGATTACACTTGACACTATAGTGTAGCTGAATGATTTTTCTTCAAGTTGCAGTTCTTGTCCAAAAGTGCAGAAATTTTGTACATTAAAAAAATATCAATTATTATTCTGTAAAAGAACAGCTATGAGATGACAGGAAGGACCATAAATATTTTTGCGGTGACTAAATACCCTACATTCTCACAACAGCCCAATCCAGCAAATAGTAAGCTGGGTGAGTACACGCAAGATATTTAAAATTAATTTAGTCATGCAACTGACTTCAAGCATCTGAAGGTGATCAAATCAACAATGAAAATTTGCATATACAATGATTTTTTTCCAAAAATATATATATTTACCTATGGCTGTAGTCCTTCACTCCCAACAAACCCTTTCCTTCTCTGGAACCCTCCCTACCAAAGTCGCCACTCCAGTGTCTACCAGGTAGTTCTTGGAAGTGGACATTTTTACCTTACATCCAAGCCAGAGGACTATTTTGCTTTCTGAAGTCAAGGCTATTATGGCCCCCGAGAAACACACTGACCTTCTCACCTGGTGTAAGAATTTGAAGAATGAAAATCTTTGGAGTAACTTTGCTTAAAGTAATAGATTTATTCTTGAATGACTAAAATTGGAATCCATCATCGTATTGTCAGAAGACCTTTAAGCCATCCTAGTTACCATGGAAAATTCTTAACCTCTAGTCTCTTATCAGAGACACAGCATGAATGAATAGGATTCATTGTCTAGCTGTATTTTATCATTTGCAATACTTTCAGAAGAGTCGTGACAGACTGAAAATATTTTGCAAAGTGCAGACAAGGGATGAAAAATATATTCCTTGAAAAAGAAAGGGATAAACTGACTTGCAGGAACTGAGTGTTATGCATCTGCCAGATGAAGTTAAAATGAATCAGGAGGAGCTAAACATAAAAATCAACACTGGGCTCTGTGGTTAGAACATCATTGCTCTAAAGAGTTATGTTTGCTTATAAAGGGCACAGTAATCGAAAACTTTAGAGGTTAAAAGCACATGTAAATTTCCAAGTTACACATGAAATATAATCACACATTAAAATATTTATAATTGCACATGGAAATAAAATTTCATAAAGTCCAGCTTTCTTCCATCCCTGAATTCATTCCCAAATGATTTTCTGAAATAATTTGTTATATTTAGAAAATTCCCTTGCCCTCAAATCATCTTTTGGCAGATTAAATTGAATGCTGTGATTAGATGTAAATAATATTGTTTTGTTCTGGAATAGTCTTTTAGTGCTTACTAGTAAAAAAACTACAGATCTTTTCAGATCTATATTCTATTTCTATCTCTGAGTAATCAGTAATATTCTGTGTTGTTTCCTCTGCTCATAAAGTGGGCCTGATTCCTGTCACAGAAATGTTATATTCCTTAATTCTTTATAATAATAAAAACAAATAAAGCCTACTGAAAACCCCAACTTCAAATCTTAAAAAAAACTTTGAATAATGTGGCTGAGAAAGCTTTCAAGGTGCGTGGCTATTAATTATTGAATCAGTTAACAAACAAGGTCAACTTGTGAAAGCAAAACAATAGGCAGACACAAAATCTGGTTCTGGTAAGTCTACACATCATCCATGGCTCAGGTCAAACTTGGCTGGAATAAGAATGATAATGAAATCAGATTTCAACAAGCTAACATGTAAGTTAGATCCTGTAAATTCCAAGGTATGATAAATTCCAAGGTAAATTCTGTTAATGAAAACTGGTGCATTAAAGCAGATTTCGCTATTCATCAAGGAGAAAATATCCCAAGGTATGTGGGATAAGAATAAACATAGAAGGAGCCTATTCACTGCAAAGTCAGCTGCTGCACAGTTAAATCTCAGGTATAAATTGCTATGGGCTTTGAACTTGCCTATAATTTTCAAACCATGTCCCCCTGTATGCAACTATATTAGCAGAGCAGTTCCTGTTGCTTAGTGGTGAAGGTCAACCAGCTTAAGAAAGTTTTACTTCTTAGTGAGAAAACAGTTAAGAACTTGAATCTCCTTGCAGAACTGTGTAAGCCAAGGAGGGAATGATGTATTTACCAGTAACATCTCTTCTGAAAATATTTAGAGCTATTTTTGGACAAACTCTGCTTGCTATTTACTTTGTTCACTGTTTGAACACAATCTTAGTGGACATAGACAAAGTCTACACTGGAAGCTGGGGATTTGTTGTACTCTCTGGTGTATTTGCCATCTGTTTTCTTTCCAACATCTGTGGCTCTAACACTGTTCAGGGAAATGCAGAGAAATGGTCTGATAAACCTGCAAGCTATGAAACCTAACAAGAACTGTTGATACACATTGGGCATGCCGATATGGTGTTGTTCACAGTCTGTATGTCAAGGAAGATTTCATTATCCTAAATTCAACAAACAGCTGCTTCCTTCATGGACACTGAAATACATCTGTATGAGCTTTACTGACGATCACTGTGCTGCTTTTGTAAATCCTGCTGGTATTTGTAAAGTCTGTTAATGAAAATTGGTGCATTAAAGGAGATTTTGCTATTCATCAAGGAGCTAAAAAAACAGAGGAAAATATTTAGTAGGACATATTTGCTGACACTCTTAGGATGTGTTGGTATTTTTAGTGGTCAGAAGAAGTACTGCTGGATTAGACAAAGGCTAAAGTTTGGAGGACTCAAGCTCAGATCTCAGAGATTAGATACTTCAAATTAAGTCTGTAATTTTATTTCAGCTCAGTCCGTAAACAATGTTGAGCTCTGATGGTTTTGTGCCTGTGTTCGATACAGTAGATAACAACTTTTGTTAGTGTTGACTGTACAGTACATAACATTTTCTGGCTGAGGACAGCTGATGACAGAACATGGCAGCGGAAAGCTCTGTAAGAGCTGCCAGAAATGAATACAACCTTCCTTGCATTAAGAAGCAGCAGGAGGCTAGCAATGCCCAAAATGAAGATAGCTCTGTGTGTATTGTATTACTACTAGTACATATTAGAAAGTATACTATCTCTATGTAGTTATTGCAATATTTTACTGTTTCAATGACTTTTGTCAGGTGCAGCTTAGAGAAGCTGATCCTGAACACAGTGCCAAGAGAGAGAAAGAGGCAGCAGTGATTCAGGCTGATTCTCTGTGAAAGTCCAGGAGATCTCACACACTCAGGGAAAGGAAATTGTATGGACTTCAATGGTTGTGACTTGCTGTGTCATGGGAAATAAGTTTCTTCCTTTTTTTTGTAATTCGGAATTGCTGAAATCTGTGGAAACCTGACAAGCTTCTGTACAAGTTTCGTCAAATACAACCATGTAACCACTTGTTTCATTTTTCAAACTCTAATTAGCACGAACAAGCTGCTTGGAGACTGAACGATCACACAAGGTTTCAGTGATAAAAGATTAGGGTCTGAAAGCATTTGTAGTTCTGGATGCCTCAGATGCACAGAGGGCTCTACAGGCATTTTTTTCTTCTCTTATCTCACTTTTCCACTAAAACCAGCTCACATCAGGCAGTACCATTTTCTTATGCAAGGAGACCTTTTCCTGTCTGAAGAAAAAAACTGCCCTCACTGAAGGGTCAACATAGAGCTTGGCAGCAGCTTTTTTTTTCTTTTTTCTTTTTTCTTTTTTCTTTTCTTTTTTCTTTTTTCTTTTTTCTTTTTTCTTTTTTCTTTTTTCTTTTTTCTTTTCCCTTTTCTTTT